AACTAAGGTTCTGCTAGCTTGCCTTTATCGAAGTGTGGCTCCCCGCCAGGCTCTAGGAAGGCAAAGATGTTGAACCATTCATCTGAGGCTGATGGTAAAGAGGCATAGAACTTTGTGTGCCATGTGCACAGAACTACAGACCAAATGGTTTTAGTATTTTCCTCAGCCTGACATACAGGAAAGTCAATCAAAATCACCTTGGCAGAACATGCATGAGAACTGTCACGAGAGATGAACAACTGATTAAAATCACATTCTCTGATTTCTTGGGGCCAAATCCTGTTCCCACTGACATCAAAAGGAGTTTTGCTATTGAATTCAATAGGAACACGCTTTGACATTTGGAGAGGAAAGGGCATCACCACCTGAGCAAGAACCATATTGCTCATACCACAGGTTGATTCATGTGAGAAAGTCAGAAAACATATGATTGTTGTCCATTGCATGGGAGAAATCAGCAATAAATGAGGCTAGAAGAGTCTCTGTACCGTATCCAATTCATAAGTCCATCTGCAAAGCTTAACATTCTCAGACCTTTGGTTAGAAGACTTCTGTTAGTACATGTTCATAGTTGAGAGGCCGAAACAGAAAGAGGCAAAATGGAGATGTTTCCAGGAAAGGGACTTTTAGCTTCTGCCAAGTACCAAGTGAAGGGAAATCTGCTCTGAATGCGAAAGATGGAGTTTGGAGTCATGTGTAAGTTACATGTGCATTACCCTTACCCGTATTCTGGTTTGAATGTTCACAAAAAGTCCTTTAAGTGCAGACGACTATTTTCCAGGATCCATTGTGAGCTAAGTGTTCCTTATAATGAGCTATTCAACTTACTTGCCCCTTCACGAGTTGGCTAAATACCTTGTGGGCATTGCCACAGGAGCAAACATGTAGTAAATGTTCATAACTTCAGATAGCAAGATGACTATACGTACATAGAAATAGTGTAATCATAAGTAGTAGCTATTTCATGTACATGGCTATTTTCAAAAGAGATTCTGAAAAAAATCACACCATGTACTTGAAACCCTCTGTGTCAGCACCATGTCGCACTGAAGTGTTATGTAAAACCAGAGATGGAGCCAGGACCATGACGCTGTTTTGTCTAAAGGGCCAAGGTTAATTTTTTGCTGTTGAAATGTAATTGTGCTTTAGTCAGCGAGGGCCTACTGGCTGGCACATATTCGGGTTAAAGGGCTTCAGTGTTAACTTCAATGTTCATAAACCTGGCATGTTCTGAGGTGGTTTAAAACATAATGCCACAGGTTTTTACGTTTGCAAAGCTATGAACCTCTGCCCCATTGAGAAATTAATTATTATTATTATTATTATTATTAATTACTGGCCATAATGTGGATTGGTATCCAATCTGCCTTCTGCTCATGAGGTTATAGCACTATTCTGAATACCAGTTGGGAACAATTTATTTTTCAGTAAATATGGACTGATTCTTTCCTTTAAAAAGGGATGCATTTTTTCAGGTACACAGCGATTAACCCAGAAAACAATTAGGGCTGTTAATTTTCTATGGAACTTGAAAAGTCTCAGAGGGGTAGCCATGTTAGTCTGTAAATATAAAAGCAATGAGTAGTCCTTCGGCACCTTAGAGACTAATAAAAATATATAGAAGTATCATGAGCTTTCATGGGTAAAACCCACTTCTTCAGATGAGCTGGCGTGGGGGGAAAAAAAGGGAACCCAGAATTTATAACAGAAAAAGAAGGGAGAAAGACAGGGGGAAAAGTACCTGTCAATTGTAGTATCGGTGCTAATGAGGCTAATTGAGTGGGCTGGAAGTGTCCCATAATTAGCTTTTGAAATATATGAGGTGTTCAAGCCCAGGGAAACAGTGTCAAATTTGCATATGAAGGTCAATTCAGCACTCACTCTCTGTAACTGGCTTGTGAAATTCCTTTTAAATCCATGACTGAGTGCCCAGGTAGGTTAAAATGTTCCCCTACAAGTTTATGGAATTTAAAGAAAATTTAAGTTAAACTATATTTTCCAAGCTTCAGGGGGTAGCCGAGTTAGTCTCTACAGGATAAACTTAAAAAGCAACAAATGGTCTGGTAGCACTTTATAGACTAACAACACATGTAGATGGTATCATGAGCTTTCATGGGCACAGCCCACTTCTTCAGATGACTGGAGTTTTGAATTTAGGATGTGCAGATTCAAAATAAATAGGGGGGAAGAGACAGGGGGGAAGGGAAAAAAAGGAAGGGGGCAGGAAACAAGGAGCAGAGGGTATAAAAATATCAAAAGGAAAAACAAGTAGGCAGAATTGGTAATTATAAGCACCTGAAGATTGGCTAGTTAAAAAGAAGCAGATCAGGATCAAAGGATAGCAATTAGATAGTGTCTACACTGGGGACAACACCTGATTCCTGTTAGGCTGCAGAACTGGGCTGACATCAGAATCCAAACAGCCTCTCCTCAGTGCAAACAGAGGCAGGAATTCCGCTAATGATTTGGACTTGATGTGTTGCAGTATGACTATGGATAATTCAGACCAATGGGGAGAAAAAGAATAAAAAAAAATGGTTTAAACACCTTCCTCCTAATCTACCCCTCCTGCCTTAAGGACGTCTGACCCTCCACACAATAAAGATGCTAACAAACTCACGCAAAAAAAGCCTTTGTTTGCATATGTGCTGCACTCTTAAAGCCACATAAAAGAATGCCCTTCCTTGCCATATTCTGCTCCTTTAAGCCAGGGGTGGGGAGAGGTCTAGCTCCAAGTTTTGTGGGCATCCCATATCCTCTCAAAATCTCTTGTAAGTACTGGAGTACACCCCTCCCAACAATCCTAGGCAACCTGCCCATTCCCTACTCTAGTGCCACCCCCTCAGTGGCTATCAGGGGAACCCAGACCTGCTCTCTACTCTGGGTCTCAGGCAGGGAACCCTCAGCTCAGCAGTTCTGGATTTCCTCTCTCTGTCCTCAGGGCTCCTTCTGTGGACTGTTTCCTCCCAACTCACAGTTCCACTCCTTTCTCTGGGTGTACCAGCTCCTAGGGAATGACTGCTGCCGGCAGCCTATCCTAGCTACCTAGTTTGTAACTGACTACCTTCTGCGCCAGCCTCTTGATTTTTGTAGAAGCCCCATCTGTTCCAGCACAGATGGACTTCCCTTTAATTAACTGCCTAAAGCTCTCCTCTTTGAGGTCCAATTATTCGAGTAGGCCTCCTGGCTCAATTAAGCTCACTCAGAGCCAGTGAGAGTAGTGAAGTTTAGGGTGAGAGCAGCCGAGGAAAGGATCAAGAGAAACCAGAAATTAGGAAGTTTTGAAGCTTTCCGGGTCAAAGTGTGCAACACGCCCCTCACTAGTCCTAGTTAGAATCATAGAACACTAGAACTGGAGTTAATTGAAATTTGACACAAAAAATGGCTATTTGGTCTTCTAACCACCCGCCACTGCCGCTGCCAGTTTGTCACAGGTTTTACTTAAACGTGCCATTGGATAGCTAGGCTCTGACCTGTCCCTGAATGTTTTGATTAGCACCGGGGAGCAGTTCTGTCTTGCCCCAGTGTGTAAACCACCTCCATGAAGATAGCAGCTAACTGCTCCGGGGAGCTTGTTTACATTGATGCTTTACAGCACGGTAACTTGCTGTGCTTCTTTCACACCCCTTAGTGAGAAAGTTACAGAATAGTAAAGTGGCAGTGTGGATAAGACCACCACATTCCCCATTGTAGAGCAAAGCTAATTTACACCATCTGAAAACATAACACTCTTTTTGTTATTTGAAAGTATTTGCTGAATAGTTTGGACATGTATTTTTCAGTCTATGAGTCAGTCAGTCTTAAACTCTTGCAACCTCATCACTGTCCAGAATTCCTACAATATGGTTGTGCCCTGAAACTCTCTGACTACTGGAATGAAATGTTTTTAAAACAGGAGAATAGCGAAGAAGAAATAAAGCACTCCCAGGATTAATTATTTTTCATGTGTGCTAAAAATGGTGAAAATGTCAGGGCTTGCAAACATTTTCACAATTTCTGGTAGTTGTCTAGAGCATGAGGAATAACTCAAACCCACAAAATGTGGAACTTAAACTCATTTCAAAAGAGCACAACTCACATATTTTACTGTTTGACCAGCTTTCCTCCTGGATGTTACATGAAGTCATCTCCCAGACATAGTGGGCTGTTATTTGGTTCTGCACAATGAGTCAGTCCCATCTTTAAGACAACAGAGACACATTGTCTGAAATAGGGCTGTTTCTTCTCCCTGGGTCCATGTACATTCTAAGGTCTAGTTGCATCTTTGTTTCCATAAGTTTCCTTGGAATATGAACACAAGCAGAGGCACAGGCACAAGCACACAATAGCATTCCATATTTTTACTTTTTGTTTTTCTGAGAATTTGGGCCAATTAAATGCAGAAACTCAATCCTCCTTTATCTTTGGTCTCACTAACATATCACATCAACCTGCGATATTCTTATTTAGCCAAATAGAGGATCAGATTCACCAGTAGCTGTCTACTTTTTACTACTCCATTGATGAAAACAATACATTCCTTGTAAATGTTCAGTGTACATCTGACACTAGTTCAGGAAAATGGGAAGCATCTGTGTTTCCTGAGTGTGTTATCTAATCTTAAAAACAATTTTTTTAAATAATACTCCTACCGAACCAAACCATTACCTGCACACCATTAGTTCAATCACTTTTGTATAAATATTGGCAAAGAATATGGATAGTTATGGAATTAGTATAAAAGATATGTTAATAAGATCCCTTGAATCTCTTTAATGTAATTTAATAAAGTAATTTACACAAATCTTTATCTGTCTGGGTACTAGAAAGTTACTGAATTTCCATCATCTTTAGAGCAATATTCCAGGTTACAAACTTCATAAGCAAATAACTGTATCAAATTCATTTTTGGCAAGGATATTTCCTGTTTTGTAATCTTCTTCAGGCCAAATAGAAAGTGTCTACGTATAGTTAATCTTTTACAGACACTGACTGAGAAGAGTATATTAATCAACGCTCTTTCCATCATTCTTTCTACCATTCCTGAATAATTCATCCCCACAAAATAACCTGCAACCATGAAGCAGCTAGCATTTATTTCTTTTATTTTCCTCTTCAGTTGTGCTATATCCAGAGATCTGAAAAGATCTGCTAGAGATGCAGGTAAGAGAGATCTACATTAGCTACTAGTTTTCATGCTCTCTGTGCAAACTTTGTGTTTTATAATTGTTTTAGTGATTGGTAGAAGTTCAAGTTCAGTTATGAAACTGCAAAATTAAGGGAGCAACTCACACCCCAAAAAGGGAAGGCATAGGTAGGTAAGCTTAGGTAGGCCTGAAGCCGTGTCCTTCCAGATAACAAATTTAGTAATCATCTTTCATCTACAAAAAGTCTCTCATTTACTTTACTTTTACTTAATTATTCTTCACTATTTAAAAGAAAAAAAAATTACTGAGCAATGTTATTAAGACTGAATGGCTGCTACCAAGTTCCAGCCAGAGGTAGGTGAAATGCAGTGGTAGATGAATGATTGCTTTGTGCACACACACTACAAAGATCCTTGGGGTGAACAGTTCTGTATTATCATTAGCTATATTCACTAGATTTAGGCTAAACTGATGTTTTTATATGACCCTTCCACTCACAGAGGACACTGGTGATTTGCATATAGTGGAACAAGAATCCAACCCAGCTTGGCTTTAATTTTGCGTTTGCAAAATAAAAACCCTTCCAACAGATTCCCAAACCAAAATGTGTCCTCCTCAGCTCATCTCTACTATTAATAGTACATTGATTGTCATTGAAAGTCCACACTAGTGTTCCCTCTAAGCTGCGCTGCAGCACAGCTTCATAGGTGATTAATCAGCCCCGCCCAGTCAGAGGCTCAGAGCTGACTGATTGGGTGGGGCTAATTAATCACCTGGGAAGCTGTGCTGCCATGCAGCTTAGAGGAACACTGGCCCACACTTGCCAATAGTTAGTAGTATCTGACATAGAGGCCTGGTCTACACTACAAATTAGGTTGGCATAACTATGTTGCTCTGATGTGTAAAAAATCCATATCCCTGAGTTGTACAATTGTTCTAACCTAAATCCTTGTGTAGACAGAACTAGGTTAATGGAAAAATTCTTCTGTTGACCTAGCTATCACCTCGTGGGGTGGTAGATTACCTATGCAAATGGGAGAGCCTGTCTCACTGACGTAGGCTGAGTCTACACTGACGTATACACATACTCACAGGCTACGTCTACACTGCCAGTTTTTGTGACAGAAAATATGCTAATGAGAGACTCATTTGCATGAGTTGCAATCTCATTTGCATGTTTCCTGCCAATCTGTTTTTGCGCTAGGGGTTTTTGCGCAAAACAAGCAGTGTGGATGTTTCCTTTTTGAGCAAAACCCCCTTTTTCCACAAGATCCGTATACCTTTGAGGCATAAAGATCTCGCAGAACAAAAGGGTTTTTGAGCAAAAAGAAAACGTCTATACCGCTTGTTTTTGTGCAAAAGCCCCTAGCGCAAAAAGGGATCAGCAGAAAATATGCAAATGAGATCACGACTCATGCAAATGAGTCCCTCATTAGCATATTTTCTGCCGCAACAACTGGCAGTGTAGACGTAGCTCTAGTAGTTATTTCCTGTACTTGAAATAGGAACACACTTATGCAGTTAAATACTAAGTGAGAAAAATGGCAGTAGTGGGAATATTTTACTTAGAATAGATTAGTACATGTAAGAAGCCAGTATAGCCAACATGAGTGCAATAGATGGGCCAGACGAGATGAGACTAAAGAGAGAGAGAACACAAGTTTACCAGAAATGCTGATTAGCAAATGTTTAGATTTCTAAAGTACTCAGCACTGGCCTTTCTTCAATCCCACTGAACTCAGTGGGAAAATTCCCATTGAGCTCAAGATTTAGGTGAATGCTGAACATGTGTGAAAATCCCACCACAAATGTCCAGAATGCATTTGCTATGGGGGACAATTCTATACTATAATCTTCACTGTTCTCTTTGCTTTTTCTACTCAGAACACAAGAGTGAGATTGTTCACCGTTACAACGATTTAAAGGAAGAGGATTTTACAGAAGCGTAAGTAAACATTCAAGTTACATTCTGTAATGATCATCATCATCTTCTTCTTCTTTTACATTTTTAGTTGGCCAAAAAACCCCACCAAGATGAATCAATAGAATATAAGTGAGACACATAAACAATGAATGGGACAGGAATGTTAGCCTGCTAAATGTCTAATTAGCTAAGATATAGACAAACTTGTTTGATTCCTGAAGCAATCATAATCCTACATTTGCTTGATGCTCCGGTGTGCGCCAAAGTACCATTGTCTGTCCTAATGGCAACACAAGTCACAATACCACATGCAAAATTTAGTCAGAATACATCAGTGATCCCCTCCCTCAACCCCAGGGCTTAGGAGTAGTGTGGATGTGATTCCCATTGGATAACTGAAGGAATCACATTTGTAGATCAAAAGAATGTTTGTTTCTTTGAAGCAAGTCAGCTTGATCTATATGGCTTTTAGGGATAGTGGAATTAGCTGAAGATCTCATTATTTCACAATGAAAATAATACTTACTTATTTATAGCACCTACAGGAATTCTGGGTACTAATTTCAGGAAATACACAGAAGAAAAATCTGAGACATTTATATTCTGTGTCATAGTCTTTCTAGAGAAGTGTTAAGATAAATCCTACAGCAGAAAGAGGGATGAGGAAAGATATCGATTGTGGAAATATAGTTATGTGTTTTTCCAGTTTAGGCATCTGTTTCTGATTTGAATGCATAATATTTGCTCAGAACCATTTGCATAATTGTGCATGCAAATTTGTGTACATGGGTATTGAGGTGCCCAGAACATTTGGCGCTCACTAATTTTTATGAGCTTACAGCAAACTTATTGCCTGCCTCTTTCATTCAGTGGTTCTCTGCTTGGTTACCATAGATAACAGCAATATCTGAAAGTCCAGAAGCAAACTAGCAATTCAGGAAAGTTGGTGTTGTTTTTTTTAATTTACATCTTTAAATATATGCTTTGTCTTTCAGTACCCTGATCACTTTTGCTCAGTATCTGTACAAGTGCCCTTATGAAGAGGTAGCTAAACGGGTGAAGACTGTTGTGGATCTTGCACAGAAGTGTGTTGCCAGTGAGGAGGACCCAGAGTGTTTGAAACCAGTGGTAGGCAAAGTGTCCATTGTTATACTGATTCTTCTCTGCTTACACTGCTAATACAGCATTGTGATAAAGAACTCAGTAGTAGTCTACACTTGCAGCCTATTTCGGAATAGGGCTGCAAATGTAGGCATTTGGAATTGCAAATCAAGCCCAGGATTTAAATATCTCCCGCTTGATTTGCATCTTCTCAGCCGGGCACCATTTTTGAAATGTACAAGCCCAGAATAACTGCCCACATCTACACGCGGCAGTGGAACAGAAGTTCAGAATAAAGCCCTAAATTGAATTAGCTGGTATTCCTCCTGCAATGAGGTTTACCAGCTAATTCAATTTAGGGCTTTAATTCAGAATCCCATTTGACTGCCGCATGTAGACATGGGCAGTTACTTTGGGCTAGTCAATTTCTAAAATGGCGACCAGCCAGAAACATGCTAATGAAGCACGGGATATTTAAATCCTGTCAATTGCAATTTCGGTCTCCCTCATTAGCCTCCCTAGATCAAGCTAGGGGGCTAGTGTAGACATACCCTAATAGCAAACCAAAAGCACGTATTGGTTTTTCATCCCAAAATTTTAAGACTCAAGTTTTGATACTGCTAGTGAGCTGTACTCCATATATGTATTTCTGAAACATGGTGCTTGATTCTCTTACATTTTGAGAGCTGGATTTCCAAAAAGCATCTAAGGCCAGGCCTACAACAGGGGGCAATGTCGAATTGAGCTATGTCATTCTAGCTATGTGAATAGCTTGCTCTAGTGGAGTAATGGAGTCACCAGAAGTGCAATCAGCTGTTGGTTTAGTGGGTCTTTATTAGACCCACTAAATCAACCCTTCAGGAGATCATTCCCCCAGCACCGATCTCCCAGTAAGTGTAGACAAGGCCTACATGACTTAGAAGCTTATGTTCCATTGATTTTCAATGGGATGTAGGGTCTTAAATCTTCTCTCAGATTTTCACATGTGTTTGAGTGTCTAAAATGCATAAGTATTTAGCTTGCTTAGGCATTTTAGAAAATTCCAGCAGTAGGCACCTAAGCATGTTATGAATCTTCAGGCGCTTAAATAATTTTGAAAATTTGGCCCTTAGCCACTTTTGAAAATGTTTACCTTGATTGCATTATTTCCACAGATGCTTGTCTAGTCAAGTCAGTTCCAATCTGAACTCCCCTGAATTTTGAATGCTTTAAAATTTGGAAGCAGATTTGATTTTTGAAACTTGTGCTCAGTCACAATGGCTCTTAGGCAATACTATAGTTAATGTGCTAGTTTGGGACTGTAGTTTAAGTGATTCTAACTGGTAATTCAAACAACAGGAATCCCATGGCTTCATTTCAAAGGCTGCCCACATTTACATTTAACTATAGGAACAATAGTTGCTTCCCAAATTAACCTGTCTATGCTCATTGACTTCAGTGGGGCTACCTGCATACGGTGAGCAGGATGAGTTCTATAGACTATTAAGTCAAACCTTCGGTGAATCTCTCTGTCGTAAAGCATCAGAATGAGGAAGGTACTATAAGTATAGGACCAGATTTTCAGGTGGTCCCAATTGACATAACTCTAAGTTATGAGCCATGTCATTGTAAATTGGGTGAGATTCTGGCCCATGGTCTTTTCAGAGTAGCTGTATTTTATAAAAGAAATCTAGATGAGTGAAACTTTACATCAGACATTCCATGAGCAACCTTAACTCTGACTCTAGTCACTGTATTTTCCCCTATAGCCTATTATCATCCTGGATGAGATCTGCAAAATAGATGAGCTTGCTGAAGCATACGGTGCAATGGCCAACTGTTGTAATAAAACAGATCCTGAAAGAAATGAGTGTTTCCTGTCCTTTAGACATTCTGCTTCAGAGCACCTTCCTCTATACCAAAGACCAGAGGCTGAAGTTATGTGCAAGAAATTCCAAGATGACAAAAAATCATTTATGGCACAGTAAGAACATTGATGTTATATATTTTTATATATATTTATATGTTTTAATCTGTGGAGAGCAGCTGTACTCAATATGGTGCTATGCCACCACACATGAACACATTTTAGAACAATTGCTTCAGAGCATGGAAGCACCTGCACTAGAGGTGAATGTGAGTGGGAGCGGGTGTGCCCCGGTGCACAGCTCTGGCAAGAGCTGCCTGAGCTGTGGCAAAACCTAGTAGGGAGCTATTTAAAGAATTGGCAGGGACCCAAGTTGCAAGAGGACAGTACCCGTGAGAAATATTAAGTTACTTCACCACCGACCTGCACTCGCCCACACTGCATACACTAAACTATGTCATGTAGGCAGCTTTTAGAATGGCAGCTGGTCACAAGTTTTCAAAATTTGAAAGAAAATGTTCACTGAATGTAGTTGCTAGACTCAGTAGAATTTCAAGATTTGCGAATGTTTCAAATAAAAAGCAAGTTTTTCAGATTAGACGGAAAAGCAAATTTTTCAGAAGAATTTCAAGAATTTTTATTTTGAAATCTTGATTTTTGTCATTTTTTTCTTCACTCCTGCTTTTTGGATTTTTCGTCCCTATTTCTTCCTTTTCCCATTTTGTTACTGGAGAGAGACAGGGAAATGATTAAATAAAGACAGAGCGAGAGAGATCAGAAAGTTGCTGCTTCCTACCTCCCAAAAACTCTTAAAAGGGTTTTTTTAAAATAGAAATAAACACCATGGAATTTTGAAAGTTTTGTCTTCCAAATTAATAAAGAATGTTAACACAAATGTGAGCAGCTGAAAACGTAAGGTGTTCACACAAGTTTCTCCAATACAGCTGAGTATTTCCTTTGTGATGAGAGCTCCTCCTTCCTCATGGATCTTCAGTAATTTCCAGAACTAGAACTGATTTGTTTTAGTATAGAATTGTTTCATACATGCTTTGTATAGACTAGAGGCTATTTGTTGTTGGTGTAACACATGTGGTTTTGTATTTTCTTTTCAGTCACATGTATGAGGTTGCAAGACGGCATCGTTTTCTTTATGGCCCCACACTCCTTGCTCTGGGTTTGGAAGTTGAGCATACAATTGAACACTGTTGCAAAGAGACCAACAGTAGTGTTTGCTTGGATGAAAAGGTATTCAGATTTTCAGTATGAAAAAATAAATATTGCTAGCTTTTAAAAAGTAGCCTTCTGACCTTAACTGTACTTCTGTTTATTCAACAATTTTAATCTTAAGAGGATACACTCAAATCTTCTTTAATAATATTTTTCAAAGAATTTTGTTAGGTCACAATATTTTTACAATCTCCAGGGAAATCTTGAAATTTAAATCTCTCTCTTTCCTCCTCATCCCCACAACTGTATTTGTATACACTAATCTTTGGCAGGTAGAGGGAGAGGTTAAAGCAGTGTACACAATTGACAGATTACTGGCACTGATATTAGTGGCCTATGAAAATGGCACAGGAAATGTTGATCAAGTTATGTGAAAATAGACGTAGTTTGTTCCAGGTCATTGGAAAGTTTTCTTTTTGAGACATTTTCATGAAGTGGGTGTCTTCATGCAGCAGAGTGAGTGAGAGAGAGAGAGAGAGCACAAGCGAGCACATCTACACATCAGGGCTAAACTCAAAATAAACTATACAACTTGAGCTACACTAATTGGGTAGCTTAAGTCAAAATAGCTGATTTCGAGTTTTGGCACTGTCTACACAGCAGTTTCCCCAACTTCCCTTACTCCTCATACAATGAGGGTTATAGGAGCCAGAGTAAGCAGTCCTCCAGCTCCACATTATTTTGACATTATGTTGAAATAATTACTTGAGTATAGAACAGACTATGTTATTCCAAAGTAACAGTGCTGCGTAGACATAGCCAGAAAGAGAGAGAGAGAGAGAAAGAGAGAGCATGCGCAACTCACAATTTTGCATGTTTGCTTGTGAAAGGTAATTTTTGAATAATGTTTTGAATTTACATACTACTTCACCTCTCACTGAAAACTGCTCAAACATCAGTCAGTATGTTACAGACAGTCAGATACGGTTGAAGAATTTCACATTTTGAAATTTCATGGTACAAGCATATATTTTTCCCCTCCATCAAAAATGTGTAAGAATTTTATCCCTTTTTCAACTTGTTCTGTCAATCTGTTATTATTGCTCAGATGTCCTACACATGGGCAATATACATTCTGGGGGGTGGAAGTGGTGATCACACATTTATTGGCTGAGTATAGACTATGATGACTCTGAAGCATCATGAAATACAGGAGTGCAAGGTTGGAATAAGACATACAGGCATAAGCGGTCACTATATTTCTGCCACTGTGGTTATAAGTGTAAAATAGATGGCACTTTGGTTTCTTTTCACGTCTCTCTTTTCAAGTGCATGCACTCTCCTGATTTGGTATCAGTATGGACCAGTAGCAGAGTATCTTCTCTGACATACAGTTTATGGGAAAGTTTTGCCTTTTCTAATACTCAGAGCTACTGACTGACCTTTCAGTCCTAATTACTTCAGCGGGGTGGTTCAGATGCCACAGAGAGCAACATGCAGTCCTGTAAGCACAGTGCTGGGTAGTCCTGTTAAATCATTTGGACTATTTATAGAGAAAGGTGCTCCTTAAAGAATTTGGGGATGTAATATATCCCCAAGCAAAAATAAAAGGCTGGACCATGAATTGCTAAAAATTGCATAATGCATTGTAGGTTTGCTTGGACTGTAAGTTAATCAGGCAAGGGCTGTTGGTGTTTCCAAACTGATGCTTCAAGACTTTCACATATAATCATGTTGTTTGACAATGTGCTTCTTATTACTCTAGCTCCCTTTGATAAAAAAAAAAGTCCTCATGGTGAGCAAGAAGAACACCTACTTTTGTGAAATCCTGAAGAAATTTGGAGAAAGAACTTTCAAGGGAAAGTAAGTCTCTGACCATTGAATAAATGTAAATGTAGCTATATAATTGCTCGAATGCATGTATAATGAGGAGGATACACTTTATCTATAGTCAGACGGTGACCAAGTTTAGCATAAAGGCTAAATTTGGTTACAAATTAACATGTTTTAATGGCTACCAGCCTATGAGATCTGACCCTTCTTTGAGGGGGACTACAAAAGTGCAAGTACAAAACAAGATTAAAATGACTGATTTAATTTAAGCTTTTCTGCTTGCTGATTTAAATCATGATTAAATTAACTGATTTAAAATTCCTTTATATAAATCCATCATGATTTAGTGCATGGGCCCGCCAGGTGCTCGGAGCTGGCCTGGCCCCGGGCACATGGCGCACGGTGAGCGCCGGCCCCGAGCGCGCGGCGCTTGGGGAGGGGGG